TCATGCTCTCTGTATGTGTGTGTGTATATATATCTCCTCAATATATGTTTCACTCTATATGCATCCGAAGAAGTGGGTTGTAGCCCACAAAAGCTTATGCTCTAATAAATTTGTTAGTCTCTAAGGTGCCACAAGTACTCCTGTTCCAGTAGTGTAAAGAAATTTGCCTCATCAGCTCTGTATCTCTTTGTAATTTTTAAATATGCAACAATGGTGCAAATCTATCCAGTGGAGGGAATGTAATGAATAGTTACAGTTACACACAGGCTTCAAAGGAAGTTTCGCTCTGTGGGAAATGCTGAAACCCAGTTTCTTCTTGATTAAAATTCTCAAGTAGACAGTGGCATCAAAACGGACCCGACCTGTGGTCTGTTACTTAACACTTCAGGAAAAAAGCTGATGAGATTTCAGATTGTGCAAGCAGCACCAAACTGCTGACCTTATCTTAAGTGGACAGTTCCTATCTTCCTATCACACAACACACTAAATTTAGTATATTTGAGCAGAAATCGGCAGTCCAGCAAGCACAAACTCAGTCCCCCTCATTTCTTAGAAAAATCAGTCTTTTCCCAGGGCAAGACTGAGAGCAATACTGATGCAGAATGAAAACGTCTCCTTCTCACTGACTCGTCTTTGATAAATACCTTCAATTCTAGCACCACCAAACCAAGTAGGATGCCGAGATGAAAAATATTCAAATCTCTCCGACCTTTCCTCAAAGCCCAACGCAATGTATAACAGGGGTAATTTAATCAAAGATCAAAAGCCAAAAAATAAATGGCCTGTGTGAACTGGTGGATTCCCACTGGTACAGGGAATTTGGCAGATGTTGGCTAAAGTGATTTGGCCTTCGAGCTAAGGCCCCAAAGTCTACCCTCTTCTGGGGCATCAAGTCCAAAAAGTCTTCCACCCTGCTCCTGGGCTCCACTACAGCCCTCCGGGGCCACCTTTTGCTCAGTCTCCAAACTCAGCTAGCAGCTTTGAGGAGGGGTACACAAACACTCAGCAGGCAGCCCACCCGGGAGTCACCCTGCTCCAGGACCCAATCTGCATGCTGTGGCTCTCTCCCTTTCCCCGGGATCTCCTGCAGGAGTAGTCTTGCTCCCTGCAGCTCTTACCCCAACTGGGCTATATGCTTGCTTTTATAATCACCTGAGCCCTAGCCAACCAGTTTTAGCTCGGAGCTATCTGAGCCATCAGAAGTGAGGCTAGGCCCCAATTTGCCTTAAAGGACCAGCCATCCCAATGACAGACTTTTTTGAATGCACACACAATTGCATGCATATATTTTAGGCTCTTAGAAATATATGATGTGTAGCTACAATTCAGATATTGGGGTTTGATTCAAAGTTTGAGTGCATATGGTTAGTTTGGCATCTGTTTATGTGCATACACAAATACCTATTTTTGTGCACACACATCAGGTATTACCCTACATTAGTCAGGCATGCACCAATGTACATGTTCTGTGGTGCATGCCTAACTCTGAAAAAGGTGTCCCACAGTGTCTTTAAAACCTGCTCTAGAGTTCTCATTTGATACCATGTGACAGAATTATAGTTTCCAGGCTATTGACAGTCACTCTCTGAATTTTAATTCTGTAAATAGGATACAGATAAATGCATAGATACATAAAATATAACTACCCCACAGAGAGGATCTCTGTTTTTTCAGAAATAAGTGAACAGCAGCATTTGGCTACAATTGTGTTAGGTACTATGCATGTCAACAAATAAATTTTCTCACTTTCATCATCACCGAAAATTAAGTTTTAATTCCCTGGAGCGGTGTTTGTATTAATGTTAGCTAATTAGTTTTGTAACGGACTTTGCAGGCTGTGTTAAAAAAGAGAAGAGGAGGGAATTAATGTCCAAATGCTTCTCACCAGGCATTTCCACACTTCAAATTATAACAAACCTAGCAAGTAAAGCTGCTGGGAACTTGTCTCATGCTGAAATGACAGTGCATCTTTACTTAATCAGTCCTGGATTAAAAAACTTATTTATCATAATCATGCCCAATAGGAGAGAACACAAAAGCTGACCTTTAATAAGCCAACTAAGACGTCATTTTTAAGAAGGAAGAGAGGTGCATGGTACATACAAAATACAAGACATACAATGACAAGACAGCACCTTTGATTGACTATGAAGCTTTTATCATAATAATGAAAAACTGTATATCTGTCACTTATTTTTCAAATGGTCAAATTAGACACTTATACTACTGACTTCCATGGTCATAGAGAAAGATCTATTCCTCTGAAAATGCAACAGGCTGAATGAAAAAAAAGAAGTTGTGCTCTCGCTA